CTTTAGACCTTAACCAACAGGAAAAATCAAATCAAACACCAAACAAAAGGCCTCAGCTGCTCCCGCAGGTGTGTCTCACTGCAGAAAGAAAAGGGCCAGGTGAGCTTTCCTTACCTTTTTATAGACTCTGCTCCTGCTCCTAGTGCTAGACGCCCTTCTATAAATGTAATAACCTGACTTGTTATTACTGTTGTTGTCTTGTTCAAGTCTCAGCTTATCTGACAATTAATTAGGCCTCTTTATCATTTGCGTTAGTAATGTTATGTTCCCGAACATTACTAAATAGCTACCACTAACTCAAATGAGAGTATACTGTGAAATGAAAATTTTTATTTTAACCCTTCAAGATTGCATCCTTAAAGATTCACCTGGACTTTAATAGCTAGTAGTTCTACCAATGTTACAGGACAGTTGTAGAGACTGTAAGACTGTCCGGTCTCAGGGGGATCATCTAAATCTATAAGGGAACCGCGGAGGTAAGTTACCAAGTGGTATTTATAAGCAAGCACAGCCGCTTGCAACCCAGCCCACTGACTTGTGTCCTCTGTAGTGGACATTTGTGGCGTTTTTCTGTATGTGCTGGCTTGGGTCAACTTGGTTTGACTCGGCACACCAGATCAACACTGCATTTCCATAATAACAGGGATACCTACTTGATGAGGTGTCTTTGAAGAGAGAGCTATAGATTGAATGAAACCTTTTTTATTAAGAAAAGCTGCCAACTAAGTTCCCTTATGGTGATAAACACATTTCTTCACAATAAAAGTATCTTGTTATTTTGTTATTTAAAGTATTTTATTATGTTACAGCAAACAGAAGGAAGCAGGAAGTGTTGGGTTTTCATCAGCAGTAACTTAACACAACTCCTAAAGCAGATATCTAAAAGTACAAACAGGGACAGAAATTCAAACCACAAAGATTCAGTGAGAAACCACAAAAGTACTGTGAGACAGAAACGTCTCTCTGGTTTCCTGTACAGACAGGAGATGAGTCTCGCATGTCACCACACGTCACTGCAGCCAGCTTGGAGGCAGGTCTGGTGCGCTTTGGCCCTTCTCTGGAGAAGGTCCTTCTCCACTGTAGAATAGCACACTTCCCTTGGGTATAGCTTTCTACTCACAGAAGCCTCTGGACGATAGCCCCTCTCTGGACTTTGAAGGAGCACAGCCCCCAGCCAACAGTCTGAGGCATCCGTCTGCAGGATGAATGGTTGTTGGAAGTCAGAGCAGTACAGCACAGGATCACTGCTCAGTGCCTGTTGGATGTCCTTGAAGGACTTTTTGATCTCTTCTGTTCAACAGAGCTGTCTGGGCCCTTTGGGACTGGTCATGCCTGTAAGCACAGCTGCTCTGGCAGATTAGTTAGGTATTCATTTTTGGTACCAACCTGCCATGCTGAAGAAGGACATGAGCTGTGTCCTTGTTTGTGGAAGTGGGGCTAGACTGGATGGACCTGAAACTTCTTCACCTGTGGCTTAACGACCCCCCTTTCCAATGATGTAGCTGAGATACTCCGTCTCAGAGACACTGACAGACCACTTTAAGTTGTTTTAGATGCCCAGTTGTTACTGTAAACGACAAAGTCATCCAGATACTCCAAGACAAGATCTGACAGACCACACAAGACTCTATCCACCAGGGGTTTCTGAAGGGTGTCAACTCCTGGCAATAACCTTTACACAGATCAATGGTAGTGAGGTACTTAGCCTTGCCCAGACATTCAATCAGGTCATCAATATGGGTTGATGGATATGAGTCCAACTTGTAAATTGCATTCAGATATCTGAAATCAATGCAAAACCTTACTGTGCCATCCTTTTTAGGTCGCAGAACAATGGTGTTGCACCACTCACTTATCGAGGGCTCATTGATACCAAGGGACAGTATAAGATAAATTTCCTTTTTCAATGGGATAAGAGGCATCTTTCTTCAAAACAATGTGGTGCTGTACCACTGTTGTACGGCCAGGGTTGTCCTCAAGGATATCAGGCATACATTGAGACCTTACCTGTGACTGCTGAGCCTCTGAGAGATGATCCATGTTGCGGTAGGTACCGACAAATATTGCTCTTCGCAGGACTACATCTCCAGGACTTTCTGGTCAGGCTTAAAGCTTCTCTCTCTTGCCGACTGGTCCTACCAAGACTTCTGCCTGAGCTGTGCAAGCCCAGTCATTTTCTCCAGTTTCTCTCTCACCTGAAGAACAGGTTCTTTGCTGCCCTGGTTTCCCTCCCTCATCTCTTTAAGAAGTGTTAAATGCCCCCTTACCTCGTGACCAAATAGCAACTCAAATGGTAAAAACTCTGTAAGCAGGTAGGGAAGCCACTGGTCTCAGTCAGAGCCATGAGTGTCATTAACAAACTTATGGAGCATCTGCTTGAATCCGCTCAGTCAGTCCATCAGTTTGTGGATGGTATGGGGTAGTTCTCAAACCTCTGATTCCCAAAAGTTGGTACACATCCTTCATCAGCTGGAACTGAAGTCGGTATCTTGTTTAGTGCGAGTATCTCTTGGGGAAAAGAACTGGAAAAGGCAAAAACACTGCAGACTTTGCTTTGACTGACTTCAGGGTAAACACTTCTGGGTACATCGTAGCACATGTTTAAATCACAGCAGACATAAGTTAAAAAAGCAAACAAAATGGTACTAAATGTGAGTCCTTTAACTAAACTGAGGTCAAAACAATACTACAACAGAACCTCTGGACTGACCCAAACAGAGGGGTATATATACAAACAGAGGCTAGCCGACACAAATGTGAAGGGCGGAAGACCTAACTCAGTACAATTACAAGATCCAAAATAAACCCAATAACCAACAATGAGAAAATACCAATAAGCAAAAAGTTGAAATACTAATATAACCCAAACCCAAAAGAAATGTCCACATACTTCAGTTTTTGATGCAGTCTTTCCGAGTCCCCCTGGCACTGGGAGTTGGCTCCACCCACTTTCTCTTTGCCTTAAAGGAAACCTTAAACTTAACCCTAAAACAAGTACAAATATTAGGAGATATTCTAATAAAATTAATTTTCATGAATAATTCATGAATCAGAATAAACATGTTTAACCAAAAAAAGTAGATAACGAACACTTTATAGATTGTGACATCGGGTTATTATTACGTTATTGTGGAGAACACAAAAAGTACATAATTTATTTTTATTTGCTCAAACAAATTTTTTACTTTACTTTATCTTCTAAATGTAATCTTTATGCTGGCAAAATATACATTATCGTGCTTTAAATTTCCCATAGCTCGCTCGAGACTGACTAGGTACGATGTAACGTTTTAAACAAGACTGAGCGATACCAAGTGGACAGCTGGGAGGGGGGGAGGGGAGTCACTCTCGGTTTTCTTTAACAAACGGGAATAAATCGGAAATAATAGAAATATGAAAATGAAATAAAAATAGACAAATTCGTTAACAGCGCTGAAAAAAATAAGATATATTTAACATATTTTTAGATTTTATATTGGGGGGGACTGATTGGTATTTTTCTTAGTATTGGGGGGGACAGACACGCCCCCTCCTTCCCACCCCCAAAGAAGGAGTGCTTGCGCCCTATAGCTTATGATGTAAATCTGTAAGGGAACCGGCGAGGTAAGTTACCAAACCTATAAACAAGAATAGCCTCTTATATACAGTGTGTGTTGTGTGTGTTGTGTGTGTTGTGTGTGTGTGGTTTCGCGGCGTTAACCCAAACACACAGTTTCTCACTAAAAGACGAGACGTTTCAGCCAAAACAACGTTGCTTGTTTTGCCCATAAGGCCCTGATAGCCGTGGTCAGCATTTCGAGTAGACATATGCATTGTGGCCACATCAGCACGTTTTGTGCTTTTTTTTTTTGTTGTTGTTGTTGTTCCTTACATTAAGACTTTCAGTTCAGTTTAAAGCTCCCTCATACGACAGGGGTCTTGCTCCTGGGACGCCTCTTCCTCAAACGGCTTTGTTGTTGTAGGACTTTATTCCTCCTCCTTTGTGTA